CTGAGCCCTTTTATTCTTGTCCTTTTACATCTCTCCTCTGTGTAACCGCCCGGATCCCTCCATCCTCCAGATCATCCCCGCTGCTGGGCTGCTCCTCTGAGCGTACCCTCACATAACGTCCCTCACATCTGAGCAGCGTCTGCCTTCTGACAAGCTTGAAGAAAGTCTTTGAGGCCTTGAGGCCGTGTTCAAAATGCTAACAGTGGAGTGACCTGGTGACTTAGGGGGTGCAGTGGTGTGAAAGAAGGGGTCATTGGAGATAGGGTGGGCTCTTCCCACTCAGCCTGTGATGTGTGCTGGACTGGTTCCCTCAGCCTTTGGCTGCAGCCTTTTCTGGGCAGGGAGATGGAATGAGGCAAAGTGCCTGGTCTGTTTTAAATAGATTCTGCTTGCTGCAGCCAATAAGCACAACAGCTTGGAAGGCGAGTGACCCTTCCCAAGAGATTTATGTCGCGCCAACGCTCTTGCCTCCAGCGCCACTCCAAAGCCTTCGGCCCTCCTCTCTGACCTGACTCCACTGATGTGAGCCAGCCTCTCTGGATGGTTTCTCCCCAGGCTTGTCTGGCTTTCGTGTTTGTTACACTTTTATTGGCTTTTGTGCTCTGTCTTTCCCCGGAGCTGTTTTTCCTGTGTTCTCTATCTTTCCATCACTCGTGGTCTGTGTCTGCTCTGCCACATACTCATCTCCATCTGCTGCCGCCTGTCTGATGGTCACGGATTTTTGTCCTCTTGCCCCCCCACTTTCCATAGCCTCCTGGGGGGCAACCTAGGCCCTCTGGGGCTCGTATGCAGTTGGTGGGACAGAAGAGTCCACCCACTGCAGCAAGAGGCCCTGGGGCCAGTGGGTGAAGGCTTTTGTCAGTGCCCCATCACCAGGATACTGCAGATAGAGTATAGAAGCTAGGCCAGGTTCTGAAGGCCACTTACAAGACAGAAGTAACTTAAGGTGTCCCCTAGATTCCTAGTAAGAAATTCATGGAGGGAAGCTGACAGTTTTCACTTACAGTGGGTGAGTGACAGTGGGGATAGAGTTAAGGTGGAATTACCCACCGTGAGCATTCTCAGCTGTGGGCCAGTGACGGCTCCAGACCGGGAAACGGACCACAGTGATGGCAGCTGGTTCTTGGCCATGTGCCAGTGCAATATGAGGCATTAAACCGGAGTAGGGCAGAGGAAGGTAAGGGACGGAAAAGTGATGGCCAGTGCCCATCCAAGACTATAGTCAGAAAAGGAGAAAGGAGGAGGAGGAGGCTGGGCGAGGGCTCAAGGACACTAGGAAAGCTGATGGGGAGCTGGTACAGGGGGAGAGAAAGCCGGCATAGGACTTGGCCTGAGATGCAATGGCCCTGTCAGGTGGAGGCAACCGGTATGGGGTGAGGCCAGGGAAAATAGGCCCCTTGACTCTTCCTCCCTATTCGTCCCTAGCTCTGTTATCTCTTTTTCTTTTATATGTCTGTCTTCATGTTGCATCATCAGAAAACAACAAAGGGCACCCTGCCTTTGAGAGGGAATAGTGGGCCGGAAGCACCCCTCCCTTGCTGGCTCTGGTTGGTCCACTGCTTGTTGGAGCTGTGGAGAAGCAGCCCCTTGCTAGAGCACCTCAGTGGAGTCCCTGTGCAGCTCAGTAGCCCGGCGGAGTGCCTGAAGCCGAGTAGCCAGCAGCAGTGTGTGTCCATCGGACTTCTCCAGGCCGCCCCAGCTGGAGAGTGGGGTGGTCCAGCAGTGATGGGGCTGGGCTCCTGTTCGCCAGGAGCTGAGCTGTGCGAAGGCCTACGGTGGAGGAAAGGAAAGAAGAGATTTACTCTTACCTTACAAAGTGGTTTTAGGTAGAGGGATAATGTTAAAAAACAAAACAGAAAGGCACAAAGCGCTGTACAGTGAGAGACTTGCTTCCATTCCTGTTCCCAGGTTCCCGCCTCAGAACCATCCTGAACATTCCGGTTTCTTGAGTGAATTTTTTCCAGTGTCTCCTTTCTAGGTCTGGTATAATGTGAAAGATTTCAGGCTCTTTTTTCTTATTTTTGCCTTTTTTCTCATGAGTATGTGTGTGTGGTATATATGCATGTTCGCATATGTGTAGGCACACAAATGTGCAGGGTCACATGCATGTCTGTGCACATGCATGTGGAGGTCCAAGGGTGATAGTGGGAACCTTCCTCAATTGTTCCTTGAGGCAGGATCGCTCAGACCCAGACCTCATCTACTAACTTTGCTACCCAGTTTGCCCCAGCTATTCCATCTCCTTCTTCCAGGGCTGGAATTACGGGCGAGCTGCCATGCCCCATCTGGCAGTTATGTGGGGTTGGAACTCTGAAATCTGCTCCTCTTGATTACATGGCAAGCACTCTAACCACTGAGCCATCGTCCCACCCCAGCATCCAGATTCTTGATCAAGTAGAATGTCATAAATCATTCAGACATGTGTGCACATTGAAGAGGTTGGGGAATCAAAGGACAAAGAAAATTGCATTCCAGTTAGTGCTAATAATTCTTTCCAGGACAGGAAATGATTTAATATTAAATAAATGAGATCTTAAAATGCTAGTCCTAGAAAGGCCATTCCAAGTGCACTTGAAACAAAGTATCACTCCTTTTCTTTTAAAGATTTTAAAAATGTATTTTATGTATGAGTACACACAATGGATGCTGGGATTTGAACCTGGGTCCTTTGCAAGAGCAGTCTCCTAACTGCTAAGCCATCTTTCCAGCCTCCCTTTCCCCTTTTTTGGGCTAGCTTTAGAGTCACAGCAGTCCTCCTGTCTCAGCCTCTCAAGTGTTGAGAATACCAATGTGCACCAACACCTGCAAACCAAGTCCTATTTTAAATGCAAGAGGCCCAGGTGTGTTCTCCAGGGTCATCGGATTGGGTGCCAGCAGGTGTTTCACCTCCCAATTGCTACAGCTCCCTCCATTTTAAGATAGTGGCCTTCGTAATATATGAGTCAGAGATGGAAAAACAAATAATTAGACACAGATTTAAATTTTTTTTCTCCAGTGGACAATTATGTGTCACTAAACATTAGTAATTACAGGAAAGAAATCAGTAGTTTAAGGGAAACTGTAAAGTCCACTTCTAACTGAAAAACAGACCCCATACAGTCCTACATACACACATATCCGGATACACGGGCCCTTGGAAGGGACTGGGACAACAGCCACCATCTGAAGAGATTGTTGTCTGTCTCCTGCTGGACTCCCGGCTGAGATCTGGGGCCAAGCAGAGGCACAGCACCCCCACCTCCCCTAAGGACTACAGCCCTCGACCTATGGGAGTGGGAAGCAGAGGCAGGTATTTTCTTGTGGAGGAAGGAGAAGTGTCAATCTGGACTAAGAGGACAGCCTGTGAATGGACACAGGCAGAGATGCCAAGGGACAGGACAGGGCTCAAGGAGAAGTACCTGACAGTACCACCTCTGAGTGCCCTGAGCCCTGACAGAAGGCCCAGCCGTTCACCACCACCCACCCACCACATGAGGAGACACCCCGAGATTTATATGCTGGTAAAATGGCAAGATGCCTCTTGAAAGTCTTTTTGCTATGGCATCAGCTCCAGACAGAACAATTTCAGTGTCCAAGCCAGATTGATGAGCCTTTTGATGGCCGTGGAAGTGGCTTCAGTGAGAGGGGACATGTACAACTGTAAACACTGGCTGTAAAACCCTCAATTTCTCTGAATGGTGAATTTCCAGGCAGTGTGGGTCTGGTGTTACCCGCCTCCTGCATTAGCATTATCTTCCTGTTCAGTTATTTTGACCAGTAAGGGAACAGAAATGATACTTCAAATTACCTTGGTGATCTTCTTGGCTGCATTGAGAGCTCCAGAATACATACCAACCCCAGAGTCCACTTCCCAGCTTCACACAGAAAAGGGAGGCATTGGTTATAGTGCCATTGGACTAGAAGAATGCAGGGCCAAGAGTGTGGACCTCTTTATCTTACATTCTCTTGGGTCTCAGGCATGATCTCTTTGACCCTGAGCCCAAGTTTGCAAGCCCTAGGGCTAGTGGCCTGTTCTCATGTTCCAGGTGATAAGAACCTTGGTAAAGAAATAAGCGTTCCTAAGAACCTGAATCCAGGGCCATGAAGCAGGACATCTGGCAGACTTAGGGGAAAAATGACAGTCCTTCATCCTCACTCAGGGATCCAGAAGCCCTAACTTGTGATGTGCTTGGCCTCTCCTCATGCCTGGGTGCTGGGTACGTGATAGTCACTCAGTGCTGAGTTTTCCTCCTGTGCATTTCATCTCTACCCTACCGATTCATGCATTCTTCCTCAGGTCTAGATAGCCCCCCTCCCCCCAGAGCTCAAGTTCAATTGAGCAGCCCTCTCAGACCTTCCCTCCGGGGCTCATTTCAGTTCACGGTCCCCTTGAGCCAAAGTACTTCTCTACTAGGCAGGACATTTATGTTCTTCTGAAATCCTTTCTCTTACTCCCAACAGCCATCACCAAATCCTTTGAGTCTACCCTTTCTCCCCTGCTCTAGGCAGTCACTACCCTAATCCAGCCAGGTCACATTGCTGGGAAGGTGACAGTGTTGTTACTGTGATCCTCCATCAGTAGTCCTCGGCCTACTCACTAAACTTCATACCTGATCATTTCACACTGTTTTAAAAGTTTGGCTTTCCTGAATAAGTACCAATTTCTTGTTAGGGCACCGAAGATTGTCCCACGCCCGCCACATTGCCACTACTGTCCTTTCAGCCATGTGCACCATTCCTGTGCTCCCAGACACGGTGAGTCTGTCACCCAAGGCTCAACTCCCAGTGACTTCCGAATGGCAACGGTGCCCCTCTGCCCCTTTATAGATCCTTGTTATCTTGTGATTATGTGTTTGGTTTTTCTGCTGTTAATTCTAGGGCCCCTCAACGGCTAGAGCCAAATTTTATTCACGTTTGTATTCTCCAGCACCCAGAAGGATCTGGTGTGGTAAGTACTCAAGGAAGAAAGGAAGAGTCTGGAAACACCACCCCAGCAGGCAAATGGACACCGATGCACAATCTCAGGAGGCTATTGGCATTTTAATGAGACAGAAAGTGGTGGCATGTGAATGGCCACAGACTGCCCCTGATCATTTGTTCGCTCCTCTGTTTACCAAGCCCAGATATTTAGAACATGTTGCGATGTTGTTCAGCACTGTGCCAGAAACCCACAGTATACTGAGGAGAGCTCCTGGCCTGGCATCACGGCGGGCCATGTGCTCTCTGAGAACCTTGGCCACTCAGCCCTGTAGAGGCTGTGGAAAAGAGAGAGGCAAAGGAGGTAGAGTCAGGGAGGTTGGGGGCCTTGAGAAGGACTTTGTCATGGGTTGGGGATTTAGCTCAGTGGTAGAACGCTTGCCTAGCAAGCACAAGGCCCTGGGTCCTCAACTCTGGGGGAAAAAAAATCACATAAAAAGAAGGACTTTGTCACGAGGACCAGTTCTCCTGACTACTGGCTTTACTAGTGCATTTCCTTTAAAAATGCATTCTTTGCTGTTAATAAAGACCATTTGGCACTTTCCTAATTAGTGCAAAGCCTCTGCAGCCGTGTTAGTCCCCTGCAACAGCTGCCTCAGTTCACCATCAATTCATTGTTCCGTCGATTGCCTACCAGAATGGAGGGCGTTCCTTCCCTAACTGAGTAGGCCCTGGCTTAGTCAGGGTTACTATTGCTGTGAAGAAACACCATGGCAATGTGAGGAGGAAAGGGTTAATTCAGCTTACATTTCCCTATCACTGCTCATCATCAGAGGAAGTCAGCACAGGAACTCAAGCAGGGCAGAACCCAGGACCAGCAGTCCAAGAGCCCCAATGGGCTGGGTCCTCCCCCATCAATCACTAAGTAACGAAGTACCTTACAGGCTTGCCTATGTTGGATCTTATGGAGACATTCTCTCAATTGGGTTCCCTCCTTTCAGATGACTAAACTGTGTCAAGTTGACATAAAATTGTGCTGGCTAATTTTACATAACCTTTTTTTTTTTTTGGTTCATCCCCAAGACCTCAGATTAATAAATATCGCAAGTGTAAAACATATTACAAACTTAAAAGTCCCACAGTCTAGCACTTTAAAAATTTAGTCTCTGTAAAAATCCAGAGCCTCTTTTAAAATCCAAAATCTGTTTTAAAAATTCAATGTTTCTCAACACTGGGCTCCTATAAGAGAAAAAAAAAGCTAAATATTTTCTCACTTCAAGAGGGAAGAACTAGGGCACAGTCACAATCTGAACAAAGCAAAAACCTCACTCTAACTGCAAATAATTCAATGTCCAATATCTGGGATTCACTCATGGTCTTCTGGGCTCCTCCAAGGGGCTTGGGTCACATCTCCAGCTCTGCCCTCTGCAGCGCACACAGCTTATCTTCTAGGCCTGGCCGTCTCCACACCACTGCTGCTGCTGTTCTTGGTGGTCATCCATGGTACTGGCATCTCCAAAATGCTGGAGTCTTCTGCTGCAGCTGGGCTGCACTTTCATCAGTAGCCTCTGCGGGGCTCTCTTGATGGTGCAAAGCCTCAGATTTTCTGCATGACCCCCTTCAATCCTGGGGCTTCCACTGCTCCCGAGGCTGCACCTTCACCAATGGCCTCTCCTGGGCTCTCCCAGTGCCAAGCCTCAGCTGCTCTCCACCACCGTTTGATGCCTTCAAAACCCAGCACTACCTGGGCGATTCTTACACTACCAAACTTGGCTGCCAGCAGGAAGTACAACCTTGTAGCCTCTGGAGCACAGTCTGTGTGCTGACCCTGAGGAAACACTTTCCGGAAGACTTCACCTCAGTGATGGTGGTCTCTTCTCAGTCAAGCTGACTCTTCAGCCCCGGCTGACCAGACACCTCAGAGGCTTCACACAAATGGTCCAGTAGAGTCTTTGCTTCTCTCTGATACTTCCCAAGTCAGGCCTCCATCGTCTGCACTGCTCTCAACATTCTTATCTTCCAGGCTCCTACAGACAGGTCACTGAGCTCTCAACACTCAATGGATTTTCTAGCCCAAAGTTCCAAAGCTCTCACACAACCTCCCCCAAGCAATGGTCAGGTCTGTCACAGCAATACCCCACTATCCTGGTATCAATTTCCAGGACCCTAAAAGTTTTCTTACCCCCTTCTTCTGAGACAGCAGAGTTTAACCTCTAACTCATGATTAGAGGACAAAGCCAGCTGCTCCAAGAGAAGCAGTTAGGGACTCATTATCTGCCCCTGCCCCTACAACGAGTGGCCCTCTTTCTCTGGACTCTGGTCCTTTACTCATCTCTCAAATGTTTGACTTGGGGAGGTCCAGGCATCAGCGGTCCATGCCTGTTTGGGCTCCATTTTTCTCTTTCCATCGACAAATGTTTGAAGAGCATGTTTTTTGTTTTTTGTTTTTTTGAGCTGAGGACCGAGCCCAGGGCCTTGTGCTTGCTAGGCAAGCGCTCTACCACTGAGCTAAATCCCCAACCCCGAAGAGCATGTTTTGTATGCCATTCCCATAAGCACTGAGCAAGCAGTGATGAACACATGTAAGAATCTACCAGGCAAGGTGGCTCAGTGAGTAGACACTTGCCACCAAACCTGACCAGCTGAGTTCCGTTCTCAGACCTCACACGGGAAAAGAACCAGCTCCTACAAGTCCTACAACCAATTTCCACATGTGCACCATGGCATGTGCTGTGCCCACCCCCTGCCACATTAATAAATGTGGAAAATAAAAAAATAAACAAAAAGAATCTATGAGGGGCCAAGGGGAAGACTCAGCTGGTAAAAGTACTTGCTGAACAAGTTCAGTAATCTGGAATCCATGTCAAGAAGTGGGACATGTAATCCCAGCACTTGTACTGAGAGATGGGAAGCAGAGACAGGGGGTTGACCAGGATGCTCAAAGCCAGCTACCCTGAAGTATGCAGCTCAGTAGCGAAACCTAGAGACCTTGCTTCAAACAAGGTGGGAGACTGTCCTCTGATCTCCACATGTTCACCGGGGCACACTGAAGTGTGTGCAGGCAAGCATGTACGTGCACTCGTGCATGTGCAATACACATGCACACATATACACACAGTGGAGGGAGAGAGAGAGAGAGAGCAAGCACAAGCCTGATGGACCCTGTTCTCATGAAGTTTATACTCCAATGGTGGAAACTAATAAAAGCCATTGCTTCAAGACAAACAGGAGGCAGACGGTTGATAGGACCGGAAGAGCCTTTTGGAGAGCCGGGTTCCCCCATCTGCAGTGGTCTCCAGAAGTTCAGCATTCACCTTTCCCTTAGCGACAATTGGTGTGTTGAGCGTGGCTAGCCGGCCATGTTCCAGTGGGTGGCTGCTGACCTTTGCAGGCATGGGTCTCCTCACTGTTGAAGGGGGACGAGAGAGCCTTTTCAAGGGGTAGGATTCCAAGATTCCGTGTCAGCGCTGTGTGTTGCGTGCTCACATATGGTCTGTTTGTGCTTCCAGCCTTCCTTCCTGCTCAGAGCAGACAGGTACCGTGGGAAGGGAGGGTTTAAAGTAGGTTCTCTCACCTGTCCTCTGGGCCTCTGATACTGCGGCCGTGGGGAGGAGGCTTCTGGGTCTCAAAGGTAATGGGCACGGAGAGGCTAGCTAGGGTCCTGCTCTCCCACCCACTGTCTCCAGTCAGCTTAGCAGAAGCTCTAAAGAAGCATCTATTCAGCTGGGGGCAGGGCACTCCGCCCTCGTGGTAATGTTAGGTGTGGCTGGAGAAGCTGCCCTGGGGTCTGTTCTTGGCAGTAGTGGTAAGCCCCTTTTGTATATGCTTTGGGAAGGCTGCAGGGAGTGCCCTTCCAGACCCCACAACCCCGAGGCGGCCACAGCATGCCCATGGGGGATGGACCTGTAGAGCCCTGGGGTGACCCTCTCCATTTTCATGTGCTATTTCATTCCATCTTTCCCAACAATGCGGCAGTCAGCACCCTCACTCTACAGCTGAGAAAACAGGCTGACAACTGACCCTTCAAGCCACCTCCTAATAGGTAACAATCAACACTGAATTTACCTGGCCTGCTCCCGTGCCAAGGGCTTATGCTGATCTGGACCCCCCTCTGTTGCCCACTCTTCTCAGTTCCCACCCAGCTGCACTGGGAGGGGAGGAGAGCTCTGGGGCCTCTGTGAACCGGGAGCTGGTGACATTTTGCTCAGCTCACTCTGAGTTGTGGCTTTGGCATCTGTAGAAGAGGTGAACTGTGTCTGAGAGGAATGCCAAATGGTGGAAGATGCCTAAGGTACTAGAAGCTGGAAACGGATCTGCAGAAGTGACACAGGATCCCATCTCTCCATGTCCCTCCCTTTACCCAGGAGGAAACAGGCTGGGGGTGGAAGTGAGGTCCCTGCACAAACAGCTCTCCACTGGGGCACCTGCAGGCCTCCTGAGGGCTGAGTGTCCTCATCTGCTAGTGTGGTGATTAGCTCAGAGTGTGGGAGCTCTGCAGAGCATATATGGAGGACTTCCACCCGGAAGCCTGAGATCACCTCTGGGCATCATGAGTACTCTTGGTGTTTTCAGAATTCCAGGACTGTGAGGAGTGGGCAGGTCTCCCAGGGTGACTTTAACTCTATGCTTCTGCTAGGACCTACTCCTAACATCAGCAAGGAGATCCCAAGGAGAGCTAAGCTAGGCTCTGTTCTGGGCCATTCGGGATTTGAACCTGGAAGATGAGAAGCTGTATCTGAGGTGGCAGCTCCTAGTCCCCTGCCTGTCCAGAGTGCCCGTGGCTGAAGGGAATATGAGTCAACCTTTATGTCAACTTTCTGTCAAGTGGGATCATCACTTCCGTGCTCAGGGAAGTGCCCACCTGAGGTTGTGCTAGCGAGACCACACTGCAGTGCTCCTGTGTGGTGGAGCCGGTGGTGGAGAGGCTTCTCCTAGGGATGGAAGAGGTGACAGTTTTGGCCCCTGAGTTCTGAGGTCCTGAGGAGTAAGTGGGAAGACCGACAGAAACTCCGCCCGATTCCAGCTCCTCTTCCTAGTGTTTTGCTCCGTTTTGTTTTTGAGACAGGGTTTGTCTATGTAGCCTTGACTCTCCTGAAACTCACTCTGTAGATCAGGCTGGCCTTGAACTCACAGAAATCCACCTGCCTCTGCCTTCTGAGCGTTGGGACTAAAAGGCGTGCGCCACCACCGCTGGCAACTCCTCCTCATAAAGTGTCCCTCTGGTGCCATCAGAACCTCACTAACCTGGTGCCAGTCTGACCTGGCCCAGCTCCAACTCCTACACATAGGGGTGAGTTGGGAGCCTTCCACCATGAGCTGCCCCTCTTTCCCCAAACTCTCAAAATTAAAAGCAACTAGAGATTCTGGTGCACCCTGGCCCCCACACGGTATGACTAAACACTCCCTGCAGGAATCCCAGGAGAACAAGGCTGACCCATTGCCTCTCTTGTTGGTTACTACCACACTGCCCCTGCCTCGGACCCCCTGCTCTTTCTTGTGGCTCCTCTGTTACATGGTCTTTACTGAGGGTCACATTGCCGACGACTGGGCCATTTTGAGACCTCCCTTCAAGACAAGGTCCCACAGCGTCAAACTCACTATGCAGCTAAGGCTAAAATCAAACTCTTGATTCTTCTACATTCTACCTGGGTCACAGGCGGGTTCCGTGCCTGGCCCTGTGTTTGGACATTTCTCTAAGGCCAAGTATCACTATTGCTATAATGATCCTGGGTTTTCCTAAAGAAAACTCTGGGATTTCCTTCACTTCAGTCGACATATAGCAAACTTCTGTTAGGGTTCAGTGCCAAGTGCTGGAAATACAGAGAAACACCATCTCATTTCGCTTGTGTCTACCCGTGGTGCTGACGCTGATGTGGGAGGCAGGACATGCTGTGATCTCACTATTTGCCTCATCCCCCAGATGACTTCATTTGCAAGCCTGTCCGTCTTGGGTTTTCCGAAGAACCAACATATCCAACATCATCCAAAAAGTACCACCCTGCCCATTCTGGCATTCAAGACCCCCCCCCCCCAATCCAGACCTGCCCAGTCTGGCCAGTCTTAACCCACACCAAGTCTTTGCCAGTATCCAGGACGCTCTCCCTTTCCACATGAAGTACTATCCTCAGGGCCTTGGCTGTTCTTGCCCTCTACTCACTCCTCTCTGCCTTAGGAGTTCCCTTCCACCCCCCAGATATACCCACCTTCTCTGAGAAGCCTTCCTAAAGACCAATTCGCAAGTCTATACTTCCGGGAATCATTTCTATAGTTCCTTACTAAAGACCGCTTTGCAATAAATTGCTTCTTCTTCTGCAGTGCCTACTTGGGTAGCTCACAGCTATTCATTGAGTGTCTTCCTATGCCTGACAGGCCCTAGCCAGCCCTGTCTTCTGCCTGGAGCCTGAATTATTCACACCTGCTTCTCACCTCTCACCCACTCCAGGGCCTCCGCAGAATCAGAATCTCAATGATGTCTGTCCTGTCTCTCACTTTATTTTGCACTTCGTCGGAAAAGTGTCAGAAGGCTTTTAGACTGGGCTCTGCCCATGAATCTAGCCCTTTGGCCTGGCCTCTGTGGCCTCCCTTCACTCTAACGGTATGGTGATGATGCCTCAGGATTCTTCAGGGAACACTAAAGCCGGGGTGGAAGGGAGCTACGAGAAAGCTAGGAGCCTCAGGCTAGTGAAAGATGTCCAGTGATTGCATCCTTGCACTTGCATTGGCTGTGTGGCAGCGCAGCTTCACCTCGCTCTCGGCGAGTGTCGAGCGCATCAGCTTCCACCACCCTCCGCCTCGGGCCACCGAGGCGGCTGGGAATCTTGGGTTGCCGAGGATTCCGGTGCAGAGTGAGGACTCTGCCCTCCCCGCCAGCCTTGCCCCCTTCGAAGGACTCGTTGAACACACCTTGAACCCCACGCCAGAGCGCAGTTCACAGCGCCGCCCGGAACTGCAGCTACGCGACGCGGGCCAAGGCCAGGGGTCGCGCATCTTCGCCGGTGACTCAGGGCCGTTCAGCGGTGGGGTGGGTGGAGGTGGAGAGACAGACCAGGGCCGCGCGGGGGCAGCGGGCCGTAGTGAGGGTAGCTGAGCGTTGAGATCCGAGACCGACTCTGGCCCGTCGCCATTCCGCCCGGGTGTCTGTCTAGCCGAGGCCCCGGGTGCGGGAGGAAGGCCGGAGCTACTTCCCAGCGGGCGCGCTCTTCAGCCGGTGCGCAGTGGCCCGGGCCGCCCGCGGCGTCTGGAGCGCCGAGCCCGCTAGGCGCGCGAATGAATGGGCGCCCGGGGCCGCGCGCGCTCGGGGCTGAAGGGCATTAGGACCGTGAGGATCGCTCCGCGCTCCTGTCTCTTCCTATCACCCCCACCATCACCACCACCACCTCTCTCCTTTTTCTGCTCTGCAGGACTGAGCAGCCCGGCGCGAGCGATAACAAACAGTTGGGGCAGTGAGCGCCCCCGCCCCGGCTCTGAGAGCACGCCGGCCCCGGGCCCCACGCGGGGCGCCCGTCCGCCCACCATGAGGAAGATCCGAGCCAATGCCATCGCCATCCTGACCGTAGCCTGGATCCTGGGCACTTTCTACTACTTATGGCAGGACAACCGAGCCCATGCAGCATCCTCGGGCGGCCGCGGCGCGCAGAGGGCCGGCGGGAGACCGGAGCAGCTCCGGGAGGACCGCACCATCCCGCTCATTGTGAGTACGCTCTGCGTACCCGGTGAGCGGCGGGCGGCTCGCGTTCTGCCCCCGCGCTGTTAGCCCAGGACGCGGGGCCCGGCCGGGGGCTGCGTGCCCCGAGAACCGTTCAGGCTTTGTATATGTTCAAGAATTCCTGCCCGTTGTTATGGCAACCTGTGCCGGCCCGGAGGGGCCAGGGTGCTGGGATGCAGGGAGGGTGACAGCGTGTGGGGGCAGGGAGAAAGTGCTGCAAGTTTGGTGGGCCCGGCGTGCGCGCGCGATTGGGAACGTGGCGGCTCTCGCGGCCCCGCGCCGCCGGGGCTGGGGACCGAGGGGCTGCGGGCGCATTGCCATCCCCAGAAGGCGGCGGGCCCTGGAGTGCAGCGAGCCGGTGGTGGGAGCCGTAGGTGGCGGTGCGCACCCGGTCTCCAGCCTCTGGGGTAAAGGACGCCGGGTGGCGGCGTGGGTAGGGAAGGGTCGCTGAGCGCTGCCCTTGGCTTAGCGCCTCCTCATCCCAGATCAACTTGGATCCGTTTCTTCGGCATTGACTCCACTCTTCCCCAGAGGTGTTTTCTGGCTTCCCGGGGACCGGGAGAAGGCTTGTCCCGTAGGTGCTCCCCCCGACACTAGGGTCTGCAGAAGAAGCGGACAGTGTCTGCGCCTGGGCTGGGCAGTTCCCTCTCATGAGATCACCCTCCTGACGTCTGAGCGAGCCGGGAAACAAAAGCGGTGTAGCACTCCAGGAGCCCCGGCAGAGCAGGGGAGGGGAGTGGGGGGAGGACTTAGCTGCACCGTAGACCCCCATGGGGGCTTGAGGAGCCTGCAGGGGGCGTTCCTGTCTTCGCTTCCACCTGGTCGACTGGTGATGGCTTTGTGTGACCAGGCCCAGCACCTGTTGAGGAAAGAGACTGGGGACTCGTCGCGAGACCGCTGGGAAGGGAGTGTTCTTCCTATGGGGGCAGGTGACCTCTTGGGACACACTGCTGGGCCGGGGCAGCTTGGTGCGACCAGGACCAGAAGGAAGAGCAAAGAACTGTGAGGGAGCAGGAGAGTAGGGGAGGGTGCGATTCTGACCCGGGAAGATCTGAACCTGGGGGAAGAGGAGACAGGAGCTCCTCCGGGAGGCGCAAGGTCAGGAGTACTGATACCTGTACCCAGTAGAATACAAGGTATTTTAAGTGAAATCCAAGAATATGAGGATGGTTCTGTAGATACCCTTCCATAGTCCCATCCTGCCACAGATGCCCTCACATCACCAGACCGAAAAAGTAAGCCAGGTGGTGGTGGACTGAGCCTTTAATCCCAGCACTTGGGAGACAGAGGCAAGCGAATCTGTGAGTTTGAGGCCAGCCTGGTCTACAAGTGTGAGTTTCAGGACAGCCAGGGCTGCACAGAGAAACCCTGCCTTGGAAAGCCAAACAAAAACAAAACAACAACAACAACAAAAAGGAAGCAAAAACTTACAGATGGGGTGACTTTCTGGGTCTAGTGGGAAGAGACCTTAGGTCCTAAGGTTTGTGTGTTAACCTGGATTCCAAGTTGTGGTGCATTTCTGCAAACAATACTTAGGAGATCCCCTTGTCCGGTACCTAGGACATGGCTTCCAAAGCACCTGCCACTGTTTGGACAGAATGGGAAAACAAAAAAACAACAAAACCTGTACTAGGGCCCTGAGATCCGTGTGGACTGGCTGCTTGGAACAGGAACAACAAAAACATTGCTGCCTTGAGACTCCAGTGAGTTCCCACACTCTGAGTCTCGGCGGCCTATTCTTAGTCCTGGGTGACTTCAGCCCTGGTCTCAGCCTAAGGCCAGCAAGATAGGGGTGAGGCAGGCTGGTCAGATTCCCCACCCCTTTCTCTGATGACCTGTCAGGAGGTGGCTGTCATCTAGAAGAGGAGGAGGCTAAGGGTTGGGAGGCGGGAGAAGAGAGCGGAGACCACACAGAACCTTCTGTAGCCCCTGAGGCAGAAGCCTGAACCCCGACTTTGTCTGGGACACCCCCCGTCTCCTGTGCCTCTCAGCTGAGAGTCCCAGAATGGGACGTGCGTATGTTGGGGGACACCATTGGGATCCAGCACACATGTTGAGGGATGAGATTTAGAAGTTATGGGGGGCGGGGCACTAGGGAACACTTCCCTGCTCCTCATTCCTCCAGACTTGTTGCTGGTAAGGGGCCAGAGACTGGGAGCTCAGGGTAAAGTGTGCAGGGGAATTAGGGGGCTACCTGGGAGCGGGATGAGTGAAGGTACAGGACAAAAAGTCAAGAGTGGAACTCCCGGGGAGCTGAGTGGCAGAGCCTTCTCTTGCTGCTTGGGAACACAGCCAGAGCCCTCTCTATTCTCAGGTTTTAGCCTGGGATGTCTCTTCTGCAGGCTGCTCCGAGGTCGTCTTGCATTGTATTCCTATGTTGAGTACTTCACTTCCATGTGCTTCTCAGCCGAATACAAGCTGCGCACGCAGGGACCATGCTGGATGCCTTTTGCATTCCCACATTGATACACACAGCGAGACTTAATAAGTACCTCTTTGATAAAGGAGTGCAACAGGATTTTTGCTCGCCAGGAGCAGTGAACGGCTCCAGCTTCAGACCTGACCGAGGTAGAAAGGCAAGGCAACACATGCTTGAGCATCTTCGGGAGGTGGGCCCTTTGTTCAACTTAAAAGGGGGCAGGTGCCGCTGAAGATTTGATTGCTCTCTAGAAGTTTTGATAGCGACTCGCTGTCGGCCCTTTCCAAACATCTCTTTGTCGAGTTGGGCCATAATTTCAGATTCTTCGAGAATGAGGTGGCCAGCCCTGTTGTCAGAGGCTGAGCAAATTCAGACAGACATCATCACCACTCCCCCGGGAGCCAGAGAGCTGAAACAGGACAGGGAGGGTCTGTGTGAGAGTCTGGGCCTGGAGGCAGCTCTGCCTTCGCCCTGTCATCCGGCCGGTTCAAAGCCAGCCAAGTTGCTTCTGGACCTTGGAGAGCTTGTTTGGCCTTGTGGGATGTTGGCATGGCAACCTTATGGTCGAGTTTCTCAGAGAGGTCCTGAGTCTCGATATTCTGTCTTGCACTCAGCCTGTGTGTCACAGATGTGAAGATTTGGTTGTGGAAGCTGAGATTCAAGGGAGAAGGTGACTCCATCCCTCTGGTAGCTTTACTGCATGACAAGGCTGGTCACTGCTGGGCTGGGCTGGGCTGGGCTGGGCTGGGCAAGGCGGCGGCATATTTGGAAACATCCCCTTGAATCTGCGCTGATCTACACTGGCAGAGGCTGCCTTTAGATCTTTCAGGGAACTCCATTCCCTAGCAGAAGGGGATACCGATGGCGGCTTTTCTGGTGCTGTTTGCTGAGAACTAAGACCCAATAAGAGTTGAATGGATTTGTATTTTATTTATGATGTGTGTGCATTTTGGAGCTGTGGGAATATGATTTGCCTAAATGATAGAAAATGATTTTGTATTTCATTTGTCTAGGTGCCATATGTGAGAAAGAGGTTAGGGAGAGGAAGGCGCTAATACCCACAATTCCCTTTCCTAGCATGTTCAGATGTAAAGTGTCCATGGGTTCTATTCCTGGGCTGTGGACTGTGGGGATAGCTCAGAGGCAGCCAAGGCTGGAGAAAGCTCTCACGGGGATGCCAGAGGCCCAA